TATCTCCTAGGAGGGTCTGACTCCAACACCCAAGTGCAACGCCGGATCCCCCGTCGATGCTGAAGAACAAAGTAGCAACTTGCARYCCGTTGATGCAGAATGGCCGCTGACCCTCAAGCTCGCCTACTTGAGGGCAGCCCTTAAGTTGCCAAGTGTCTCCCTTGATTCAGATTCCAGGTGCGAGTGCCTCTCACTGTCGCCTCTCTCAAATCGCCGCATGAAGTCTCCTCGAAATGTCTTGCCACCCCAATCTCACTCTCACCCAACCTGGTTAGGTTCTATGTTGACCCCACATGACCTAACCAGGTGGGGGCAGCTTCCCTTAGCCACGCTGCGCCACTTCCCTCAACCAACCAAGCCTAACCGTAAGTGTTGCCCTCAACCACTTAGGTTAGGGTTAGGGCAGCAAAGTCAACTCTCACCAGCAAGTAGAATCCACTCCGATACCAATGTTATGACCCTGGCCAATTTCGAGATACGCATCCATCAGAAGGTACAATGCCATCCAATTGCAGAAAGAAATGAATGAACTTGAGAGGAGAGAGAGAGGATTAGAAGAAGAAGAAGAAGTAAGAAAGATGAAGAAGAAAATGTACACCAGCAAAGACAATGACAAGGCTCTTCTTCTTCGCCCAACAATCTCCTCCTCCTTATCTCCCCCTCCTCTTATTCATACAAGAAATCATAATACAATGTTGAATGACTGGTCCTGAATCAATGTCCGAGTCCCTCTTCTACTGCAGGTATCACTCAAGGTCCACCATAGCCATAACCGCCTCTCCCACTCTTCACTCTCATAGCCAGGTAAGTACCCCTGGTGCTCCTCCCCCTTCCTCCTTCCTTCCTCCTTCTTCCTCCCTCTAGTCCTTCTTCTTCCTCCCCAGCAGCGCAGCTCCAACCCAGCGCTGCTCCCTCCAGCGCTCCACCAGTGTGTCGCCAAACTTGCACACCGAAAAAGAGGCCAGGTCTTCCGCCCGGCCTGAAGATATAGCGGCCTGCTTTGCCTCTTGGGCGGTGACTTCCAGGCTGCTGGCCTTCCCAACCAACCGGTACCTCCTCCTTTTTCGGAGGGAAACATCATTGCAGACTCTGATATTGCCTCTACAGGCCCTAGACTCAGACTGGTACCCGCTAGACCTAGCCTACACTGCCGGCCTCTAAAAATGCCACTTTTGTCTTCTTCTGCTCGGCCTCCGGTACCTGCATATTTACCCCCCTGCCGGGTGCGGTACCGGCCTACCCGCTACTTTGAGTGCTTTTCCCCCGCTGCAACCCTTCGAAGCCACGGCCAGAGGTAAGTACCGGCCCTGAGGGCCCAACGAATGAACAAGTGCCCTGGCGGGCCACACACACACACACTCATACCAACCAGCACTCAGACAGGCACAGTCACACACACGCAAGCCAACCAGCACTCAGACAGACATGCAGTCCAGCAAGCACACACACACACACAGACTTAGCAGGCGGGGAACTCAGTAGGGCATTCAGTCTATGAGCAAAACTCAGAAATCAGCTGTGTGTTTCAGTCCGTGTTTGGACGGGTTATCACAAAGCAAGAAAGAACAAAGGCCGAGGTTATTACACTACTCCGTGCGCGGTGGAAGAGAAGAGAGCTCATGAAGAAGTCACTGGATGAACTACTGGAGATGGAGATTTCCGTTAAAACTTTGACATCCCAAAGAGACAGACAGATCATACGCGGCATTCTCACACGAACACTAAAAAGGAAATTTGGTGTCAATCCGAGGGTATGGCTCACAGCGAAGATTCCATATAATCCATCTGTTAATAAATCAAAAATAAAGTCCGTGTTGAGTGACTGGGTTGGGACAAGGATCAAGAACATAAAACTGGGTGGAATCCTGAGGCAGCGGGTCAGGGTGGTTTGGGATAAAGCTCCCACTATCGCTGACATCCTGCACAATCAGAAGTCGTATGCTAAGGAGCAGCTTGTGGTCTGCCCTTGCAAGAACTTCAACCTTCCCAAAGTTAATGGGCATGTCAGGACTCGACTCAGTGATCTCGATAAAATTTCATATTTTCTCTGTAATTCAAAAAGCTCTCCAACTCCGGGAGGAATGGCCGGTAGAATTGACATTAATAAGGCTTGCAACGTTGCCATTGCTCTTCTGAAGGCAATGGGCTTGATTCACATCCAAGAACGTGTATGCATTCATTTGTACCAAGAAAGTAGGGGTGCTCAAGATCAGAAGGATGGGGTGGTCAGCACTGAGTATATCTATGGGATCAAGAAAGCACTGGATGGGCTGGTGCTTTCCCCAGCAGACATAAACAGTGCTGAAACGATTATTGAGTGTCCAACAAGATACATGAAAGGCGTGGATGATATGTTTAATTCTAATTGCAGCTACGAAAAGGTTGAAAAATCAGAGCCACAAATTCTAGCAAATATGAGGTGCGACTACAAAGAGAAGAAACTGAACAAGATTGCCAACTGGGATGGGAAAGGGAATTTACAAAATGCCTATGTCATTGCAAGGGATAAATCTGGAGAAACGAAGACCTATTGTCCCCACCTTCTCCAACCCCGCAAGGACTCTGTTTGGCTACCTTAGTAAATTTCTGCATTTTTTTATGAAGAACCAAAAAATGATAATGAAACGGTTTTCACCTTTTGCAGCAGCAGATGCAGATCCCAGGGTTCGATCCCTAGACCTCCCCCTACCCATGTACAGTATCTGTGTAGACCCGAGAGTTGAACCTGTGACCTGTGTATTCGTAGACAGTTGGTAGGTCTGTCGTAGGTCTGTAGCTAGCAGGGGTTCGATCTGTAGATCTATAGAGTAGAAGTCTTAGCGAGTTCCAGAAGTCTAGCTGTAGTCCTTCTAGAAGGTCGGCAAGTGGGCAAGTGGTCAAGTGGCGAGGCAAGTGGTGGACTAAACTGCAGTGCAATCACAGTACGACCTCGGTAGGATAGCAGTGAGTCCTGGCGAGAGAGAAGGAGCTTAGCATAGCGATAGGGTAGAGGCAGCCATAGCTGCCATAGCCGTAGTTAGTGTGAAGTGTGTGTGTGTATGTGCGAGTGTTCAAAGTTACGCGTGTGGGATATCCAGGGTGGTCCGGTGTGTGTGAACAGCGAGTTGTTTGGGCGCTGAGTCGCCATAGCCAATTGAAAGTGAACTCGGATCTGGAAGCCATATCTCTGAGTTTTGAGTGGGCGCACGTCGCCAGTTTGCTGTGCTGTTGTTTACATGCATGAAAAGTGTGAACGAGAACGAGTCTGATTGCATTGGTATCGGAGCTGGTACCCGCTATTCCATGCGCGCCGTCGTGTGCAGAACCTGATGCGCCATAGCAGAGGTGGTCGCCGAAGGCTGTATTCCGCCATAGCGGACCTGAGGTTGGAGAAGCCGCCGCGCACCTGCAAGAAGACCACGCCGAAGAAGAAGAGAGAGAGAGAGAGAGAGAGAGGGAGAGGGAGAGAGAGAGAGAGAGAGAGAGAGAGAGAGAGAGAGAGAGAGAGAGAGAGGGGGAGATAGAGAGAGCACAGAGAGAGAGGAGAGAGA